GATATAACATCTGTTCTTCAATTTTGCACCCAAGTTGTTATGGTAACCAAAATATGTGGATATGTGTTTCCTAAATTTAACTGATTATTTCAAGTAAATAAAATTCTAACATATCACCTTACTAACTACAAATAATATTATTACTACAACCCTATATTTATCTTTTGTAAATGCTAGTGGATCATAGGATTATATTTAACTAGGCATTTACACATGCTTTATCTCAGAATTCACATTAAAGAAAACAGCGAGGGTATATATTTTTTGAATTTGGGATCGTTTTCTTGATTTAAAAACAAAAGAAAACCAAAAAGAACTAGTCTATTTTCTGAACAATACGCTATACTAAATTACTCCAAAATTATCTGATTGTATTGCTTTGTAGGAGCTGTAGATCACATCCTTCTCCAACATAAGTCAGATCCTGTTACTCCTCTTGTACTCTGCTCAAAACCCTGCACTGGCCTCTCAGCATCCTCCCAGGGGCTACCAGGCCCACACCCTCCACCTCCCCTTGCTCACCCCATTCCAGCCACAGTGGTTTCCCTGCTCCTCCTCAGATACACCAAGCTCAGTCCTGCCTCAGGGCCTCATGCTCCCTATTCCCTCTGCCAGGAAGGCTCTTCCCCCACAGGGCTCACTCTTCCACTTATTTCAAGTGTTTGTTCAAATACCATCTTCTCACTAAAACCTCCTCTCACCAACCCCATACCAAATAGCTATTTCAGCACCTCTCCCACTGCTGCCCACACATGACCTACCTGCAATGCACTGAACTGTGGCCCCTCAAGTTAGTATGTTGAAGCCCTAACTCCCAGTGTGACAGCATTTGGAGACGGGCCTTCAGGAGGTAATTAGGGTTAGATGAGGTCATGAGGGTTGGACCCTCATGCTAGAATTAACTAACGTCCTCATAAAAAGAGGAAGAGACACCAGCACACTCACTTTCTCCAGCATGCAAGGACACAGCGAGAAAGCGGCCATCTGCAAGCCAGGAGGAGAGAGCTCACCAGAAACCGAATTGGCCGGAACTTTAATATTGGACTTCTAACTGTGGAATACTGGACTGCAGAACTGTGAAGAAATGAATTTGTGCTGCTTAAGTTACCCAGGCTTACAATATTTTGTTATGGCGGCCCAAACTGACTAGGGCACTGTTCCCCCTTCTTAATTTTCCTAATTTTATTACTGACTAATATACAATATAGTGGTGATTTATTCTATACCCTACTAGTTTACTCTGTTTATTGTCTGTCTCCCTTTATTGCAGAATCAGCATCATAAGGGCAGGGGTTTTTTTTGTCTATTTTGTTCACAGCACCTACAACACCGACAATATGCATGTAACAGGTGATCAATAAATATTTGTTGAACATGTAGAGTATAAATTTAAAACACCTTAAATGTTGATATGCTATGGTAAGAAATAATACATTTCTGTGATAATATGCAAGAAATTTAATAAGAAATAAAAATATACAATCTTCAGGGGCCAGCCCAGTGGCATAGCAGTTAAGTTCGCACACTCCACTTCAGGGGCCCAGGATTCGCTGGTTTGGATCCTGGGTGCAGACCTACACACCACTTATCAAGCCATGCTGTGGCAGGTGTCCCACATATAAAATAGAGGAAGATGGGCACAGATGTCAGCTCAGGGTGAATCTTCCTCAGCAAAAAAAATTAATAAAATCAAAACCACCAAGATTTGTGTTCTGATAGAACCAAAGAATCTTACTTTCCTGATTTTCTTGATATTTTCTCTTATGAATCTGACCTACTACAGGCTCTGTCTTCCTCCTGCAAATTAAATGTGGATACCGCTTAATATCCTATTAACTCTGTCCAGGAATCTTTTTCTCTGCTTCCTTCCTAAGTGAACTCATCCAGTCTCACTGCTTCAACTGTCACCTGTTTGGTGACTCTGAGACCCTCTCTCTGGCCTAGACTCCTCTGTGCTCCGGTGCTGGCCTCCCGGCCACCTTTGAGACGTCCGTGACTTCAAGCGTACTGTCACGAATGTCAAAGGACAGGAGTTTCAGGTAGAATACAACATGGTACTCATGGAAGTAGAAAAGAATCCTAAACAAAATCTAACCAAAAAGATGTAGTCTTTAGTAGTGTACAGACTCACAGAATTTTATACACTGTCTGAGGAGTCGCTTTCCTTCATTACAGAAATTAGACCTACGGTAGCAGGGAATTCCCATCTCTGAATTACGACTATGTATTCTAATTAACAATATACTCTTGCACAATCAGTTTCACTTCAACCACGGATTATTCCCAATATTCTAGTACAGTTTTATTACTTTCAAATTGAATTTAATCGCTTGGGGGAAAATATGAGAAATTATATGAGGTTTTCAAATTAACTTTCTGAACTAGGATAGTTTATTTTCAGAAGAAAAATATCTTCCAATCTTTTTCTTCATCATTGGCTCCCAAATAACATATTTGTTTCTCCAATCATTTTTCTTCATACTCATTAATCAATTCATTATTATTTTAAAGACTTCTCTAAAGATCCTTAGTTACCTGATGATAAAATGACAACTCGGAATTTAGGACAGGCTTCAGATGAAAGTTGGCTGGAATTGATTATCCAGTTTAAGCAAACCATGTATTTTTAGAATTTCACTGAGCAAAAATAAAAAGAAAGTAAATTCTACGAGAAAATCATGTGATTCTTACAGCTTTAGAGATGGGCTGAGCCTCCCAGAGTAGTGTAAGTTTCTCAGGTCTTGTCAGCGTCTCCAGGACAAGCAGTTCTTAATGAAACACACTGTCCCAGTTCTCTGTTGTCCTTTTAAGATGAATTTACTAAAGATTATATCAAGCATATTTCACTGTTGTTTCCTTCTCAAATATTTTTCTTCAAATTAGGAGTATAAATGAAATATATTTAGGACAGGTCTTCAGAACCCATATCTGGCTGTCCCCAGCACTCATGAAAGGCACAAAGTATGCCCAAACTCTCAACAAAGGCTGTTATCATTCCCTTCAAAATATATCCAAAATCTGACCACTTCTATCCCTCTCTTCTGCCTCCATAATCTCTCACCAGCATTATTGAAGAGCCTCCTAAATAGTCTCCCTGACTCCACCTGTGCCCCACTAGCCCACTTCCCACACAGGTGGCCCAGTGACCTCCATAAAACCCAAGCCAGATCAAGCCACTCCTGCTCAAAACCTTCTACTAGCTTGCTGTATCACTTGAAACAAAAGTCAAGTCCTTATAATGGTTAAGAAGACCCTTCATGGTCTGGTCCCCCTACGCCTCAACCGTTATCCCCCTCCCTTACTCTGTTCAGCCTCAGTGTCTTCCTTGCTATTCCTTGAACACACCAAAGATGCTCTCACTTCACGTCCTGTGCACTTGTTGCTTCCTCAGCCTAAAAGTCCCTCCAGACAGCCACGGGACTTGCTCCCTACTTCTTTCCAGATTTTGTTCAGTGAGGCCTTCCTTGACAAACAAACAGACTAATACATCTTCTCTGCTGCCCAGCCCTTTCTACTACCCTTAACCTCCTTTATTTTTCTTCAACATGCTTATCACTGTTTGACATACGGTATGTATGTTTGTTTATTATTTGCATTACCTAACTAAAATGTTAGCTCCAAGAAAGCAGAGGCTGTTTTGTTCCTTGCTCATTCCCCAGCAACAGAACAAAGAATGGTAGATTATCAATGAATTTCAATAAATATTGATCACATGAATGAATGAATGAATGAATCTTGCGGTAGTTTCTTACCCCAAACCAGATGCAGGCTATTCTTCCTTCAAATTGCATACTATTATATTCCTGCTTTTCTTATGATAAATCATATTCCTTGTTGTATTAAGAATCATTTTGTACTTATCTTAACATCCTGCAAATATCAAGAACCATGTCTTATTTCTCTTTGCATCCCCTGGATCTAGCATCATGTCTTTCTTACAATAGGTATTCAATATTTGTTAACCTGAATCTGAAGTCACACTGAAAGATACTTTTATAATATACCTGAATCTATTGTGCTCTCCTTTAGCAAATAGCCCAATACCAATTCTTAAATTGCTAAATAATATTCTATTTTTATAACCAACCAGCAAATTTAACGCCAGTGAGACAGAAGGTGGTGCGTAGCCTGGTTTGGAGATGTCTGACATCCATTTTGTACTGATATGGAAAACACAGAAAACATTTTGAATGACGTTAACAAATCAAAAGATTTTCGGAAGATAAAGAAAATTCCTTGAGAGAAAGCTGCTTCAGCTTGATCCATTAATGAATGCTACAAAAGAGAACCATGCAACACATGCTTTACTCCATCTCTATAAAGAAATAAACAACCAGAAAGCAAACTAACGTGAAGGGCTTTTTTTTCTAAGAAAACAAATTGCAGCATCACTATTGGAATTAACACCCACTTGACCCCAAATTTTGGCACAACTCATTAACTGGCATTTTTAATGATCAGCTGAAATCACCAAGAAGAGACTAAATTATGATCAATATATTGAAAAAATATGCCCCGAGTTTTAGACTTCCACCAAATCAGTTTAAATTAAAAGGTTTGATACTGACAAGGTTAAACTTTCACCATAAAGACACAGCAATTTATTCCCCAAGACTTGTGGACAAGCAGGATTTTACTTTTCAGTCAAATTCTTTGAAAACTGACAATCTATAATTACTGTAATCAAAAGAGTTGACAGGCTAGAACTCTCTTTTTCTAAGCACAAGAAGTAACAGTGTTAAAAATAAATGATAGGGGCTGGCCCAGTGGCGTAGTGGTTAAGTTCAGCATGCTCTCCTTTGGCAGCCCAGGTTCGCAGGTTTGGATCCTGAGTGTGGACCTACACCACTCGTCAGTCATGGTGTGGCAGGGACCCACGTACAAGATAGAGGAGGGTTGGTAACAGATGTCAGCTCAGGGCGAATCTTCCTCAGGAAAAAAATAATAATAATAAATGATAGGGTAAAAATAATGTTTTGCCTTATAAAGTGTTAGCTCACCTGAGGTATGAGTCTATCCAAGCGCTCAGCTCGATGACCATGAGAAGGGTGTGTGGACAACCACTGTGGTAACCTGGGTTGACCATGGAGCCGATCTGCAAATTCCATTTGCTGCCAGAACACTGAACTGGCTCTGACATCCACACAAGCCTGAAACCAAAATTAACAACAGCATAAAATAAGCTTAGTTATGAGGACATTTTAAAAATTTTACCCTTATGTCATTACATGTTTTAAAAATATTTTCTATCATCATTTTAATAAAATTAGAATGGGCTCATCACTTTTTAAAAAAAACAACTCAAACAACATAGTATAGAACCCACAAAGAGAATGCCCACCCTCCCTCCCTGCCCCTCCCCCTCAACGACATTCACAATAATCCCACTCCCACAGATGACCCACTATTTTCAGTGAGATGAATATTAAGAACATGTATTAAGGGCAAAAATCTTCCACACAAATTAAAGCTTTCTATGTTTTCATAAAAATAAGATTTAAAAATTTATTCTGCTATTAAACTATACTAAAGAAATCTTATTCTTAATCCATACCACTATAATAATTAGAAGACTTCAAATAAACATACTTATATTTTTAATGTGTACATCAATTTATCTACTTTTCCACACTGTGCTGAAAAATACATTTAAGTCATTCAAGACATCTTATGAAAGTATTAGTCTTTAAAAAAAATAGGATACATAGGCCTTGTGTACACGTGTTTACAATTCCATTATACACTCATTCACATATACTTATCCATGCAGAGAACATTTATGGAAGGCCATTTAAGAAACTGTTAATAGTAGCTGCCCTAAGAGCATAACTGGGGTGTTCCATGTTGGAGAAGGAGCACGACTTTTACTTCTGAATTGTAATTAAAGCATATTATTTTTATAACAAAAATTATTTCTAAACCCTACGTAAGGTGATTTAGTAAATATTATCATAAGCCCATTCAAATTATTCACATTGCTTAACTTACTTTTTCTATAAAAAGTGATTGGAAAAAAAGTGATTATTTTATTTCCCAACTAATTTACTTTAGATTAAAACTATTAAGAAAAAAATTACACTGTATTGACTAAAATGTGCTATCAAAAAGCCTTAATGTGCTATCAGCCTTAAAATAGTGAGATGTTGGGGCCGATGCGGTGGTGCAATGGTTAAGTTCGCGAGCTCCAATTCGGTGGCCCAGGGTTCGCCAGTCAGGAACCCGGGCACGGACCTATGCACTGCTTATCAAGCCATGCTGTGGCAGGCGTCCCACATGTAAAGTAGAGGAAGATGGGTACAGATGTTAGCTCAGGGCCAATCTTCCTCAAAAAAAAAAAAAAAAAAACCCAGTGAGATGCAACACACAAAAGGCAAACACAGAACGTCACATGCTGATATAGTTAGTGAACATGCATGCCACGTAATTCTTAACAAATATCATTAAAATTTTCAAATGCAGGGAAAATGAAAAGAAGAAAAAATTAGAAATTCAAGCAAATTTTATTCAATGTTTAAAGCAATACAATTCTTTTTTACTGTGGTAAAATACACACAACATAAAATTTACCACCTTAACCATTTTTAAGTGCACAGTTCAGCGGTATTAAATACATTCACATTATTGTGCAAGCATAACCACCATCCATCCCCATACCTCTTTTCATCTTGTAAAACTGAAACTCTGTACCTATTAAACACTAACTCCCCGTTCTCCCCTCCTCCTAACCCATGGCAACCACCACTACAATTTCTTTTTTTTTTTTTAAAGATTGGCACCTGAGCTAACAACTGTTGCCAATCTTCTTTTTTTTTTCCCCGATTCTTTTTTTCTCCCCATATTCCCCCAGTACATAGTTGTATATTTTAGCTGCTGGGTCCTTCCAGCTGTGGCATGTGGGACGCCACCTCAACATGGCCTAACGAGTGGTGCCACGTCCGCGCCCAGGATCCGAACCCTGGGCTGCCGAAGCAGAGCGTGTGAACTTAACCACTTGGCCACGGGGCCAGGCCCCAACACCATTATAATTTCTGTCTTTATGATTCTGACTACTATAAGTACTTCACATACGTGGAATCATACAGTATTTGTCTTTTTGCAACTGGCTTATTTTACTCAGCATAACGTCCTCAAGGTTCATCCATATTATAGCATATTGCAGAATGTCCTTCCTTTGTAAGACTGATGATATTTCATTACATGTATCTACCACATTTTACTTATCCATTTATTGGTCTTGGGTTGCTTCCACATTTTAGTTATTGTGAATACTGCCATTATAAACATGGGTGTACAGATTTATTTTTAAGACCCTACTTTCAATTGTTTTGGGACTATACTCAGAAGTGGAGTTGCTGAATCATCTGCTAATCCTATTTTTAATTTTCTGAGGAACTGCCGTACTATTTTCCACAGTGGCCTACTATTTTACATTCCCACCAACAATGCACAAGAGTTCCAATTTCTTCATATCCTCACCGACACTTATTATTTTCTGTTATTTTGGTAGTAGCCATCCTAATGGGAGTGAGGTGGTATCTCACTGTAGTTTTGACTTGCATTATCTAATGACTAGTGATGTCGAACATCTTTTTATGGGTTCATTGGTCATTCGTATATCTTCTTTGGAAGAATGTCTATTTAAGTTCTTTGCCCATCTTGGAATCAGGTTATTTTGTTGCTGTGGAGTTTTAGAAGTTCTCTATACATTCTAGATATTAATCCATTATCAGATATATGATTTGCAAATATTTTCTCCCATTTCATGGGTTGTCTTTTTACTCTGTGGATGGTGCCTTGTGAGGCAAAAAAATTTTTAATTTTCATGAAGTCTAATTTGTTTATTTTTTCTTCTGTTACCTGTGCCTTTCGTATCATATCCAAGACATTATTACCAGATCAATGTTGTGAAGCTTTTGCTTTATGTTTTTTTCTAAGAGTCTTATTGTTTTAGCTCTTACACTTAGGTCCCTGACCCATTTTGAATTAATTTTTCCATATGGTTTTATATAAGGGTCCAACTTCATTCTTTTGCATGTGGTTATCCAGTTTTCCCAGCACCATTTGTTTAAAGAATGGTCTTTACCCATTTTCCACCCTTGTCAAAAAGTCATTTGACCATATATGTGAAGGTTTATTTCTGGGGTCTGTATTCTATTTCATTGGTCTATATATCTTTCATGCCAACACCACACTATTTTGATTACTGTAGCTTTATGCTAAGTTTTGAAATCAGGAAGTATGAATCTTCTAGTTTCGTTGTTGTTTTTCAAGATTGTTTTGGCTATTTGGGTCCCTTAAGATTGCAAATGAATTTTAGGATGGCTTTTCTATTTCTACAAAAAAAAAGTCATTAGGATTTTAATAGGGACTGCATTGAATCTGCAGATTGCTTTGGGTAGTATTGACACTTTAACACTTTAAATTTTCCAATCCATGAACACAGGGTATCTTTCCATTTATTTACGTCTTCTTCAATTTGTTTCAGCAATGTTTTGTAGTTTCCATTGGATAAAACTGTCACATCCCTGGTTAAGTTAATTTCTAAGTCTTTTATTCTTACTGATGCTACTGATGGAATTGTTTTGGTAATTTCCTTTTCAGATTGTTCACTGTTTGTGTGTAGAAATGCAACTGATTTTTGCATGTTGACTTAGTATCCCGCTACTGTGTTGAATTCATTTATTAGTTCAAACAGCTTTTTTGTGGAATCTTTAGTTTTCTACATATAAGATCATATCATCTACAAACAGAGACAATTTTACTTCTTCCTTTCCAATTTGCATGCCTTTTATTACTTTTTCTTGCTCTGGCTAGAAACTTCCAGTACTATATTGAATAGAAGTGAAAGCAGGCAACTCTGCCTTATTCCTGATCTTACAGGAAAAGCTTTCAGTCTTTCACCATTGAGTATGATGTTTGCTGTGGGTTTTCCATATACTGTTTTTATTATGTAGATGTAGTTTCCTTCTATTCCTATTTTGTTGAGTGTTTTATCAAGAAAGGGTGTTGAATTTTGTCAATGCTTTTCTGCATCAATTGAGATGATCACATGGGTTTTTTGCTTCATTTTGTTGATGTGGCATATTACACTGATCAATTTTTGTATGTTGAACCATTCTTGCATTCCAGGAATAAACCCCACTTGGTCATGGTGTATAATCCTTTTAATATGCTGCCGAATTCTGTTTGCTAGTATTTTGTTGAGGATTTTTGTGTCAGTGTTCACACAGGATATTGCTCTGCAGTTTTCTTGTAGTGTCTTTGTCTGGCTTAGGTATCAGGGTTATGCTGGCCTCATAGAATGAGTTAGGAAGTGCTCTCTCCTCTTCAGTCTTTGAGAAGGATTGGCATTAGTTCTTTAAGTGCTTGGTAGAATTCACCAGCAATGCTGTCAGATCCAGGACTTTTCTTTGTTGGAAGATTTTTTATTACTGATTCAATCTCATTAGTAGTCATAGGTCTATTCAAAGTTTCTATTTATCTGTGATTTAGTCTTCAAAGTTTTGTGTGGGGTCAGGCGTGTGGCAGAGTGGTTAAGTTCACATGCTCTGCTTCAGTGGCCCAGGGTTTCAAATCCTGGGTGTGGACATGGCACCGCTCATCAAGCCATGCTGAGGCGGCGTCCCACATGCCACAACTAGAAGGACCCGCAACTAAAAATACACAGCTATGTACCAGGGGGCTTTGGGAGAAAAAGGAAAAATAAAACCTTAAAAAATGTTTTGTGTTCCAGGAATTTGTCTATTTCATCTAGGTTACTAATTTTTTGGCATACAACTGTTTGCAGTACTTGCTTATCATTCTTTTTATTTTTATAGAATCAGTAGTAATGTCTCCACTTTCATTTCTGATTTTAGTAATTTGAATTTTTTTCCTTAAAAGAATTTTTTTTTAAAGATAGCTAGCTAAAGGTTTGTCAATTTTGTTGATCTTTTCGAAGAACAAATTTTTAATTTCATGATTTTTCTCTATTGTTTTCCTATTCTTTATTTCCTTTATCTCTGCTCTAATCTTTATTATTTCCTTCTTTCTAATAGCTTTGGGTCTAGTTAGTTCTCCTTTTTCCAGTTCTTTAAGTTGAAAAGTTAGGTTGTTCATTTGAGATTTCTTTTTTTTAATGTAAGCATTTCCAGCTATAAATTTCTATCTT